CTGTCACTACCATCTATACCACGCCCAGCACCTGTCACTACCCATCTATACCACGCCCAGCACCTGTCACTACCCATCTATACCACGCCCAGCACCTGTCACTACCCATCTATACCACGCCCAGCACATGCCACTACCCATCTATACCACGCCCAGCACATGTCACTACCCATCTATACCACGCCCAGCACCTGTCACTACCCATCTATACCACGCCCAGCACATGCCACTACCCATCTATACCACGCCCAGCACATGTCACTACCCATCTATACCACGCCCAGCACCTGTCACTACCCATCTATACCACGCCCAGCACATGCCACTACCGATCTATACCACGCCCAGCACATGTCACTACCCATCTATACCACGCCCAGGTCCTCTCACAGAAAACTGTTTATAAGCAGAACGCATTAGACCTACTTGCCGTGTATTATTTTCTCGCACAAGAAAATAATTCCACTTAAAACAATTACATCCACGCACTGTACCTAATTTATGCACACTTTAGCCCCACGTATAAAAATACACTATACACTAGAGCCACCCATTCATGCACGCAACTCATCGAATCAACGCTCTAACATATCAAAATAATACATTCAATGAACCACGCCCACAATGCACCAGACCCTCGTATGATCGCACCAGTCTCATGTGTAAGTTTATAAGATTCACACACCATGCAACAAATACACACACACACACACACACACACACACACACACACACACACACAGCATGCACCATATACACACACACACACCATGCATCAGATATACACTCCATGTACTAGACACACACACACACACACACACAAAACACAGTCATAATCGCAGCAAACATGGACATAACGCACAAAGCTTACGCACACGAGGGTCAAGTACACACACACACACACAAGCGTATAAACACATTCGTTATTTCTTCGCCACCGCCTTCAATTGGAAGCTGGGGTGATAGAAATCATCATCTCTACATTCTATTTCATGAAAGGAGAAAGTTTAGTTAGAAAAGAAAGTTTTTTTTTTTAAGTTTTAGGGAGAACATAAGTAGGGAAACCTCTTAAGTCAGTGCTCTGTGCTTTTTTTTTGTGTTCCCTAAAGACTTGGGAGGGGGGGTGTTTTTGGAGATTTTCTCTTTCTCTTTCTGTATTTTTTTCGGCTAGAAGGATGGTTCATCAGGTGAGCCAAGCTGTGAGAGGCAAATCAACGATTACCTCCCATGTTTAGCTAGCCAGGTGATGAACTAACCGACCTGACCGAAAATCTTACTAGATTGCAAACACCTCCACCGTAGCTGTCGGGATCTGAAAAGGAGTCCTGAGAGAGGTTGATAGAAAACTAACGAGTCGATGGTGTTAGGTTCAGTATGTTGCAATAATGTTGCAACGCTTTACTTAATAAAAACAGTGTTAAGAAACAAAGTTCCTCTCTAGGACTTCAGACTCCGGGAGATACAGAATAAACCAAAATGTTTACCAATTCTCTCAGGTTCTTAGTAAAAATCTCCTCTAGTTCTTGCATCGGTATTGTCAAAGTGAAGAGACTCTGTATCAAATAGACTTTGTTTATATAACTGTATTTTGACACAAGTTAACAAGTTATTATATATTGTTTTAAATAATTTCAATAAGAAATATTACCAGCAAGTCTGAAAACATTTTGGTTGTATCTTCACAAGTGGGGTGTCGGTGTAGTGGTGTGTGCGTGAGGTGTGGGTCGCGTGTTGCCTACAGTATACTGCAGTCTGGAACTCCAAGGGATAAGTTGAAAATAGGGAAAGTTAAAGTTATCAGTGATTGATTTCGTCATAGAAACGCAATACCAGCGCCGGAATGCAATAATATCGCAATCATCTTCGGCATCTTGGCGAATTTGTTGCTTTATGGAGTAGTGGGGAGGCAAGGCGAGTTTCCAGAATGTTAGTCTCCAGTGTGTTCGGAAAACTAAAAGTTGATCAGCTTGACGAACTTTTCATGTGATAAATCCTTTTCCGAGCACACACACTATACCGTTGCTGATCATCTACCTGATACAAGAATAATCATCGTAAGATTATGAAGGAGACCAACTCCACTCCACCAGACACATCTCACAGATTTGAGTTTAAAGTTTATCTTTATCGTGTACATAACAGTTATCAACAGCCTGAACTATCACCCGATGCTTCCGATAGTTAGCACATGTTATACACACAACTACAAAAACAAAAACACATTCTCCTTCTGCCAAAAAATCACCTGTGGTGTGGATGAGGTTGAGGTGGTCTCGGCCATAAAGGCTCTTGAGTTAATGAAAGTGTAATATTACCTGGACACCGATGTTTACTCACACCGACAGTCCTCAACGACTTGCAGTATATGTCACGACTGCCATGCGCTGCGTGCCTCTAGAGTGTTGGTCATCCCAGGGTGAGTGTCTAGGCAAGCATGACTGTTCCTCGGCTCCCAGTGAGGGCCATCTTGAGTGAGTCTACTGTCAGAGTGTGACACCGCACTCCAGCTGCCACCCTCACCCACCTGCCGCTGCTCCCTCATGGGCTACCAACTCTTAACTCTGTCGTATCATTCTTATAAATAAACGTGAAACCCTCTTAAGTCTTCCCACTTATAATGCGACTGACAAGGCAGATGAGAAATTGAGAATGACAAGAGTGGCAGTCAAAGAGGGTCAAGTGTGGGTGAGAACGTGGCAGAGAGGCGCTACAAGCTGGACAAGCGCTGAGCACAAGCGTCACCTACCCCTACTACCTCCTTACTGGACACTGTCTTATTAGTTCGTTACTGGGAAATGGAGCACATTCTGCCTGGGAAACACCTTCTTCTATACCTTTGTACTGGAAACTGCTTGTTAATTCATTAATGGGGGAAGAGGAGCACTTGTCCTGGGGTACCACCTTGATGCACTACCTCAAGGGGGTTGGGTCATGAACAATATCTGATTGGTCTTACGGGTTACATTGTTGACAACCATAGTTGGTAGCTTACCAGGGGGAAGGGGTTGATCCTTAGCCTTATACATCACTTATCTGAAAATGCATAACTGGGCTACTTGGGAGCTTGGCTAACCTCAGTGTGGACAGTGAATGCTGCATAATACCGAGTATGTGGAATACACCAAAAATAATGACAAATACAAGATGGTAAAACAAACAATATTTGGGGGCTGCATGTGAATTTCTTTGCGGGAATATAAAAACAAGATTCATAATCTTACAAAATGTGGTAAATTGTTATTTCTTCTATCGATATATGTTTACAGAAACTGAAAGATGAATGGAGAAAAATAATCAAGAGTATTTATGAGATACAACATTAAGAAACAAAAGACACTAGAGGAGTGAAAGGGGTTGAGGCTGATCCCAGGTACATGTGCAGCTGGATCTGTTGCCTCTTCAGACACTGTGTTGTTGTAACAGGCGGAGGTTAAGTTATAAAAAGATCAACATTCAGTCAGAGAGAAAGTTCTGCCAAAGGGGAGGAGAATGATGGGACGACACAAACTGAGCTCAAGTCTTTACTGTACAGCAGATAAACAAGGAAAAATATTTTCCTAAGGAACGATGCAAGAACTTCGTTATCAGGAACCACTACAGCGCTGGCGACCACACGCCCACAACTGCGGCCGTCGACGCTCGTCTTGGGCGGGAAGGGGCGTGGGACGGGCGGGAAGGGCCGTGGGACGGGCGGGAGGGGGGCGTTGGACAGGTGGGAGTTGGCGTGGGACAGGTGGGATGGGGTGTGGGAGGGGGCTTGGGACGGTCGCGAGGGGACGTAGGACGGGAGGGAAGGAGCATGGGACGGGCGGGATGGGGCGTGGGATGGGTGGGAGGGGTAGAGACCTGGGAATGGACGAGGAGTGGAGGACGCCTACGGGATGTTAAATATGTGGGAGAGCCGAGGGATACCTTACCATACGAATGCAAATCTAAGGGGAGAGGAAATACTGAGATGCTTATGGTGCGGAGGAAGGAAGAGGTCATGAGGAGATACTAAGAAGTAAATCTGAGGGAAGGTTTCATGTGGAGATGCCGAGAAGTAAAATTTGATCCAAAGAGGGTCAATCTGAGGGGAAGGAGAGGCCATGAGGTGATGCTAAGAGGGTCAATCTGAGGAGGGGAGGGATTTCATGAGGTGATGCTAAGAGGGGGTCGATTTAGGAATTGGTAGGGGTTCGCTGACCATGATATAAGCAAGATAGAAGCTGCAGAAGCATGAGCTGTCCCAATGTCAAGGAGATGATGAGGCGTTTATAGCAGGAAGCCGCAACAATCAACACTACACTAAAGCTTATTCAATTCGGATTCAGAACTTAAATGAGTTTGTCATAGTTTGTGAAGTAAACTCATATGGCGAGTTGACATTCCCCCTCCCACTAGGTACAAATATATATATATATATATATATATATATATATATATATATATATATATATATATATATATATATATATATATATATATATATATATATATAAAAACTCTGTACTGAAAAAATGTCGGTGATGTGTCTAAACTAAAGTACAGTACCATGTAGAAGAAATAAAGTGGTGTTGACATAAAGTAGACACACATGCACAACACACATGCACAAATACAGCAGTGGTGGTTATTTCAATATCATCAAACGCACTTGTTACTAAAAAAAACTAAATCCTGAAGAGAGCATAACCAGGAATAATCACAGGCAGTGTTATATAAAGTCGCACACAAGTAGTATAACCAAATATTGTTTTCATTTGTTTTTTCTTTAATATGTCAGTGAAGAGGCAGATGACCAAAAACTGTTAGATTACAGAAGCTAAGAAGAAATATTTCAAAGGCAAACTGTTAGAAAATACAAAATACCGAGGCATAACTGGGTGTATATTTCATGAATCTTATATTTATATTCATTTCAGCAAGGTGTATCTCGCCGACTGCCTGTGTTTTGGGTGTCGTGGGCGTGACGTGGGCGTGAGATGGGCGTGGCAAGATGGTAGGTGGAAGGGGCGTACCTCCTGGAAGCGCGCGCGGCGGTGCTTGGGCAGTGGGGAGTCCTGCAGAGAAGAGCGGCTGCTGCCCAGGAGGTTGTCGGTGCTCCGCGTGTCGTCAAAGGAGTCTGTGGTGTAGCCCTGAGGGCGGTGTATTGGCCTGTGGCGCGGCGACGACCGTGGAGTGGGTGTGCGGGGCGTTGCAGCCGCGCTAGCGGTTGCTGTAGTTGGGGACTGGTAGCCGTCCGCGTCGAGGGGATTCACATAAAGGTTGGAATCTTTGTTGTTAGGCTGGTCGTCGGTGAGGTCGGCCTGGGAGTTGAAGGGGTGGGTGGGGCAAGAAGCGAAGGTGTCGGTAGAGTCCATGGAGGCGAGGTCGTGCCCCGCGCCCCCACCATTCCTGGACCCGTCCTGGGTCTTGAGCGGCCGCAGCTCTATGGGGAAGGGCGCCTCCGTCACCGGCGCCGGCACCAGGCATTCCGCGTCTATGAACTCCTTGTAGTCCTGCAACCACACCACCGTCAGCATGGTTGCCTCCCCCGCCACAGCAGGAGAAGGGACAGACGGGAGGGAGAAGCAGGAAGCAAGCAAAGGAAGGTGGCAGGCAGAGTGAGACCCGACAGGAGAGTGACAGATGGCACGTGCGACTCTATGGTGAATCACCACAGGCACTGATGGTGAGATGAAGTGATGGTGACTCGTATTGACGGTGACTAGTGTTGATGGTGAGAAGTGATGGTGAATAGTGTTGATGGTGAATTGAAGTGATGGTGACTAGTGTTGATGGTGAGTTGAAGAGATGGTGACTGGTGTTGTGTTGAGTCGAAGTAATGGTAACTGGTGTTTATGGTGAGTTGAAGGTGACTGGTGTTGGTGACTGGTATTGATGGTTGGTTAGTCGAAGTGATGGTGATTGGGTCAATTATGACTACAAGTGGTGATACTGAGGAGAGTGGAAAGTGACGGATGGGGATGGTGACTGGTGGTGGTGAGGATAGTTTTGTCGGTGATAAAATAATGTTTCCCGGGATAAGTAATGTGGTGTGCACGTACTTAAAAGCGCTGTGTGTGTGTGTGTGTGTGTGTGTGTGTGTGTGTGTGTACATGCCTGTATTGTCACGCCACCGCTGACTCGCTACCCGCACACGGGAAGGGAGAACGAGTGTTCACATCACAGCAACGTGTCTAGTTTTCGGGCGGAAGAGGAACTCATGTGAGTGTGGTCCTTGTCACCGTCCTCCTGATCACGTACATTTTTATAACAAGAAAAATAAATATATATATTTTTTAACATGATGTGCAGTATATACATACTGTATATATATACACACACACACACACATATATATATATATATATATATATATATATATATATATATATATATATATATATATATATATATATATATATATATATATATATATATATATATATATATATATATATATGCAAGTAAATCAAGGAAAAGAAAACACGAAGTTCCCAAGCGCTTTCGTGTAATTCACATCTTCAGGGGTGAGTACAGACTCACCCTATATATATATATATATATATATATATATATATATATATATATATATATATATATATATATATATATATATATATATATATATATATATATATATATATATATATATATATATATATATATATATATATATATATATATATATATATATATATATATATATATTTATTTATTCACTGTTATATTATAAGCCTAAATACTTATGAGGGTTACAAATGGCTCGCAAAAGTGAGTTAAAGTTATCGATATGATCTTAAAACAGTGATATTTCCAGGTAATGTAAAGTATCTGTGGGAAGAAATTACTTACAAGGTTATTTCCTTTATGTTCGTTCTGTTATCAAATAAAAGACCGATTTCATATTTATTTGTCATATGGGGAATATTGATATGATTTCTTCCTCTTTTGTTGATATTAATTTAGCTTTTGTTTATCGGATAACGGACTGATCTAAAATATCTCTACTTTTGTTTTAAATATCAAAGGATCACCAATCATTAAGTTATCTTCTTTTGTTGATATTAACTGGTCTTCTTTGATTTAAAATATAAAATGGGCAATACTTATAGTTCGTCTAATTTTGGCGAGGGAAGACCGAATATTGAAACAGGTGTTGATAGTTTAATTTGCGGCGAATAGGTAATGAAGTGGTATGGTGCGTCAACTGTAGTGAAGAATGGAATATAGGATGAGATCTGTGGTGAAGAATGACATTTGTAGTGAAGAATGTAATGAATAATGACATTATTGAATGACACAAAAAATGATCTATAGAATGACATCTATAGGGCAGAATGAAAGATAAAATGAGAATTGTAGTGAAGAATGTACAGTACTACTGAATGACATCTGCAGTATTAAATATGGGGCGAGAATGGAAGTCAGGTTATATAATATTATTTGAGTGGTAGAGTGAATATAACGAGATAGGGAATGTTATACTGAGTACAGTGAAAGCCATAATATATATTACTATGTGATGGGCAGAGTGAAAGCTATGTATAATTTTACATCTATAAGAAGAGTGAAAGTTAAGTTACTTACTACAGCTAGAGTGAAAGGTAGATAAATCTAATGAGGTGATGAGTGAAATTTATGTATCTTAGTGAAAGCTGATTAATATAATTGAGTGGGAGGGTTGGAGTGAAGGTCGGTGAGTGAAAGTCAAACTAAATATAATTTGGGGTAGATTACTACCCGTAGAACAGATAATTGTTGAAAAAGAAAGTCTCTGGGGGGTGTAAAGAGCAATTTAAAATCACTGGGGAGACAAAGAACAATTAACAATTTCTGGGGGAAATTTTTTTAAGTTATTCAGAAATTGGTGGACGACTGTAAAAAATCTCTAGGGGTTAAGACTGAGAAGTCAAAACACCCCCGTAGATATGTGGTGTTGGGGTGATTGTCAAAACACTTCTGGGGAAATACAAAAAACAAAAAACAGTAAGTATATATAGGGGTTTGTGGGATTCTCTGCGGTGAAATGATCCAAGAATATTTGATAGTTAACTGATAGATATTTTAACTCCGTGGATGGTAACAAATATTTTGATTCTCTGGGGACGAGGAAAAAATTTAGTAAAAATATATACTGTATTTAGGAATATTGACAATGATATTAAAATTCATGAAAGAGCAAGATATATATATATATATATATATATATATATATATATATATATATATATATATACAAGATTATTATTTTTTAATTAATCAAATGATTTTACCCTAAGATATCTGGGGATAAGATTTCTGGGGGATTAGGAGAAATTTTACTAAAACAGTATTTGGAAATTTGGTAGAAAATATTAGAAAAAATACTATCTGAGGAAATATCAGGGGCACATTGCGAAGCAAAAATCGCATGAAATCTCTGGGGGTGGCTGTGGCTGGGCTAGACACCTGGGGGAAGAGTGATTGATAACTGTAGATTATCACCTCTGGGGTGAGACTGGGGGCAGCTGTCAGGCATATATAGGGGGAAGTTAAGATTATAAGTCCCACATATCTGGGGGAAGCAGAGGGTATGAACATCAGAAATCAAAAGCCACATATCTCTGGGGAAAATTGATTAGTTGAAAAAAATCTCTGGGGAAATATGAAAAAATTCAGGCATCTGAGCAGGAATGGACAAGATAAAAATTCAAACATCTTTAGGGGTAGAATCTCTGGGGTGAAAAATCAACAGATTCTGGTAAAAAATAAGACATTATCTCTGGGGGTTAATAGTAAATTCAAGTCAAATATATCATGAGAAAATCTCTAATATTTTGTAATGAAGAAGAAAAGGTAAATGTCAATAATTTCAATCCAATTTGTATTAAGAACAGTATTTGCCCAAAGTAACTATTTGGGGAAATAGTTGGGGAAAAGTAAACGATACTCTCCTGGGACTGTTGGGAAAATATTAAATATCTGGGATGAAGGGAGAAAAATACTGAGTACAAGCCACACATCTCAGGGGGGGGATCACGAAGTTAAATATTTCAAGAGAGAAAAATATGAAAACAATTTTAAACAGCTCTGAGGGTTCATCAACTTCGACATTTCAGTGGGAAAATTAGTATGGTCAAACATCTATGGGGTAAAATTAGTAAATTCTAACATCTCTGGGGGAGAAATTAGTAAGCTTAAACATATCTGGGGAGGAAACAAATCAGCCCATACATCTCTGGGGAAGGAAATAAGTAGTGAAACATCTTTGGGGTGTGGAAATTGTCAGTCCAAATTCCAAACACTTCAGGGGAAGGAGGAGGAAGACCAGGTTACTGAATATAGTCATGTAAACAACAGATTAATAATAAAACAGTGTGTGGAGGCAGTGGGAACTGTGGTGCGTGGCATAACGTGTGTGGAGGAGGAGGGTGATACTTGGGAGTATTGATGGCTTGAGTATCAGTGTATCAAGACAGAGGGAGGATCAAGGTGAGAGGGATGAAGGTGTCGGCTGTATAAGGTGTAAGAGATGAATTAGTATTTGGGTAATGATGAGTTCAGCTCTGCCTTGTAACACGGATGACAAGGAGTATTGGCGAATGGTTATAGTAGCGGAGAGGACCAAGAGGATTGCTTACATTATATATATATATATATATATATATATATATATATATATATATATATATATATATATATATATATATATATATATATATATATATATATATATATATATATATATATATATATGTGTGTGTGTGTGTGTGTGTGTGTGTGTGTTTGTGTGTGAAAAGAGGAAAAGGAAAAACAGTAGATGAACTCAGGTCATGTTAGCAGCGAGTTAAGGATATTTAAAGAGGTTTTAGCGTTGATCACACGACATCTGGGTCCTCTCTCTTTCCTTACTTTAATTCTGATTGTATCAGGTTTAAGGTTATCAAATAGCTACAGCAGCCTGTCGGTGACCAACACTTAACTGTGACTACATACTGTTAAGTAAGTTAAAATATGTCAACATATATAACACTGGGTGAACACAGCAACAGTGAAGGTCAACAACCATCTTACTAAGATACACGCAGCTGGGGCTCAGGTTCTTCATAGTTTAGTAAATGCTTGTTCACCTTAGATGACCAATTCTCTGAGATCGTGAGTGATTAGCAGGGAGGAGGGGGGAAGGGAGATAGATACGCAGGGTTAGGGACTGTCAGTTCAAGGTTAGGAGGACTAGGGTCAAAGAGGAACAAACTAAGTGACACTGAAAAGAATATAAAATCAAAACAAGACGTGTTTACATGAAATAAAATAACATTACACAAAAGAGTGGACACTTCTCTGTATAAACATTGTATGGGGATAAAAGTTGACGATAAATAAAAAGTAACATTTGCATAATTACTTTTATTAAAGTAGGCTTTTAATTATTGTCTCCGTTAAAGCGCCTGGTGGAGTCCCTCTTCCAGTTGATTACATACAATGTGGCTTAAGAGGCACACACAGGTTAGTTCCACACACTGCTCGTAAGGTC